GCTTGTTATACTTGGTAATCACCAGGTTGAAGGTATTGACTACAAAGAAACTTTTGCTCCTGTGGTCAAGTTGACCACCGTGCGCACTCTTTTAGCAGTCGCAGCAGTTAAGGGATGGGAATTGCATCAGATGGATGTTCACAATGCATTCCTGCATGGAGATCTTCCGGATGAGGTGTATATGAGGTTGCCACCTGGTTTCTCGAGTTCGTCCAATATGGTGTGCAAACTCAAGAAGTCTTTGTATGGGTTGAAACAGGCTCCAAGATGTTGGTTTGCAAAATTGTCTGGGGCATTGAGACGATATGGATTTGTGCAGTTTGTTTCCGATTACTCTTTATTTTCTTTTGTTGGAAAGAAAGGAGTAATTCATGTCCTAGTCTATGTAGATGATTTGATCATTGCGGGTGATAGTACTGAGATGATACACAAGTTCAAGGAATATTTAGCAGATTGTTTTCGGATGAAGGATTTGGGGACTCTGAAGTTCTTTCTTGGCATCGAGGTAGCACGAAGTACATCTGGAATTTTTTCTCTGCCAACGAAAGTACGCTTTAGATATCATTACTGAGGCGGGGCTGTTAGGTGCCAGACCGTTGGGTGCCCCGATGGAGCCAAATCATCACTTGGCTCGTTCCCAAGCTCCTGTCCTTGCAGATCCGGAACCATATCGACGGCTGGTAGGAAGATTGGTCTATCTCTCTGTTACTCGACCTGAGCTCTCCTACGCCGTACATACTTTGGCACAGTTTTTGAAAGAACCAAGGGAGGATCAGTGGTGTGCAGCGCTTGGGGTGGTTCGTTACTTGAAAGGGTGTCCTGGACAGGGCATTCTACTCTCTGCAGATAGTAGCCTTCAGCTTACGGGATGGTGTGATTCAGACTGGGCAGCATGCCCTTTGACCCGGCGATCGTTGACAGGCTGGTTCGTGCAACTTGGGGAATCGCCGGTTTCGTGGAAGACAAAGAAGCAGACAACGGTGGCTCGTTCGTCTGCTGAGGCAGAGTACAGGGCTCTCGCTGTTCTTACCTGTGAGCTGAAGTGGTTAAAGAATTTGTTGAGATGTTTGGGGGTTGATCATAGGACTCCTATGATCGTACGTTGTGACAGCACCGCAGCACTTCATATTGCTGCTAATCCAGTTTTTCACGAACGAACGAAACATATTGAGATTGATTGTCATTTCGTTCGTGATGAGCTTTTACGAGGAGAAATTCGTGCTCTTCATGTGCCTACTACGCATCAGCTTGCAGATATTCACACAAAGGCACTTGGAAAGTCACGCATGGAGTTTCTTATTCCCAAGTTGGACATTTCAGCATTACATGCTCCAACTTGAGGGGGGGTGTAAAGGAGGAAAGAGAATATTTAGCATTTATTAGCATTTATTTCCGTATATATTAGTTATGGTAGTTGCCTTGTATAGAGATTCCTTTTCCTTTGTTAATTAGGACTCTTTGCTATATATGCGGCTGTATTGTAAATTGTAAAACACGGAAAGGAATACAAAGATTTTGATTCCGAAACAACTCTTTCACGATCACACACAAACACACGATCGACGGCGTGAGTCGATCGAGATCAGCACCGAAAAAAACGTATCTTGCTCAGGATTTAGCTCTGATACCATGTAAAAATTTAGAGTAAAACTGACCTGTTTTCATTAAACAACCAAGACCGTATATTCGTCCATGTAAAAATTTAGAGTAAAACTGATTTGTTTTCATTAAACAACCAAGACCGTATATATATACAAGTTTACACGAGACGGGCTAGGATTACACGAGGCCCAATACAAAAATACAATTAAATACAAATATCCGGTAATAGGATTCTCTCTATATGGTTAAAGTCAATAATGTTTGTGTAAGAAAGAAGAAATACCCAAAACAGCCTTTTCAATATCCCCAACCAAATTACCTTCCTATGCACGTCTGATCTCCTTTTTTTTTCCTCCCTACCGCCCATATTTATACTCTCCCTAATCTCATTTTTCTTTTCTCTCCTCATTTCTCCCCCTTAGCTTTTTTCTCCTCTTTAACTTCACGCCTTCCCCTGCCCCCACCACCGGAAAAAACCAACAAATGTCCGCAGATCTGGCCGAGCTCCGGCAAGATTTGCCGGAAATTCAACTGCCTAGAGTAAACGTAATTATTACTTCCTCCCCTCCGGACCGGAATATTTCCGTGATTAAGGAAGAGGAGGAGGAAGAGGAAGAGTGCCGGACGCCGAGATCGCCGCGGAATTTGATACCGGAAACGGTTGTGTGTCCGCCGGCGCCGATGAAGCCGCGGCGGCCGGTGATCCGGTGCAAGAGGAAGCTGACGGAGCTCAATTTCTTGGAGATGGTGGCTCGAGAGGAGGTCGATTCCCTCTTCCGCCCCTCCGCCGCCGCATCCCCCACCAAGATCAGGAGGTGCCTTGTGTAAATTCCGTAAATCGAGAAATATAATAGAAATGGAAAATTCCACTTCTTATTTCCTTTTTTTCTTTTATTTTTTTCAACCGGGGAATTTTATGTGTACGTAAAAATTACAGATATTATATATACAGTGTGTGTGAATTATTATTTTTTTGTTGAAAACTGATTCAACAAATTCGGATCTGAATTACTCTATACGTATATTTTATACTGATGCTTATACAAGAATCAAAATTCAATTTCAATTATTTGGGTTGAAATTTTATTTCATTGAATTATTGTTTAATTTGTTAGTGAATATTAAGAAATATATATGTAGTATTCAACGTTTTAGATCTCAAAGTTTGTTTACCACCATTGTCACTTTGGAATCATGCTCTCTCATAGTGTATTTGTCATGTTTGATTTTTTTTCAAATGAAATTGAATAAAGTTTAAATTTTAATTAAACATAAATTGTAATTAGACAAATACACTGTAATGTAACGAAGATAGTAATATGGGTGAAGTCATAATATGACAATCATGCTTCATGACAAAAGGCTGGCAATAAAGATCATGTTACCATCACACCAAATTTTATGCTAATGTTTGACATTACATGTTTTTAGATAATTACTACTCATCTGTCCCAATTTTGGTTACAATTTTTTTTATCACCTCTGGATGATTTTTTTTATTTGTATATTTTTGTTGATTATTTGATAAAATAAAATAATCTTGTCACCTCTTATTTTATAAAATTTTTGACATGATTTTTTAATATATAATTTTTATTTTTTATTGATGTAACAACTTATAAATAAAACAATTTTTAAAAAAATACAGAGTCTTAGCTCATAAATTCCAATTTGTAATCAAATTTAGGACGAACTGAGTATTATTATTTGAATTTATATAGACAATATAATTATCTCTACATATTTTTGAAATTTATAATGTTGTATTCTAATGTCAAAATAAATTTAGGATGACAATAATAATAGTGTAAATGATTGAACCGACAGGGTTGTTAATACATTTTGGAAAGCATCATTTTTGGTTTCACAAAAGCATCTCAACTCATTAGTCATCATCAAATAAATAAAAGCTAAAGATTAACACACTTTGGTCATCTTATTGTGTTCTCCGTACAAAAATACATATGGAGCAAAACAAGTGGTGTTTGGTGACAAAAATTAATTAATTAATGTATCTTGGTAAACATTTCATAACCCACATTACTTTTAATTAATTAATGTATCTTGTTAAACATTTCATAACCCACGTTACTTTATTTACTACAAAATGACTTCTCCGAATACTTTGTATTTTACCTTACATACTTTCCTTAAAAAGAAGGTTTGATTAAACCAAATTTTTTTAGTACTTTTATGTTATCATTATTTGATAGAATAAAATAGTCGTAACATTTATTTTGTAAAATGCTTGATATGATATTTAAATATATATGAAGCAAAATTTTATTCTTTACAAATAGGCCGCCCTTGGTAATTGTTATTTTATTTTTCCCATTAATTGGTAATTTTAATCTTTACAAATAGCACTCTCTTGTTAAGAGCTCAGTTCTAGTTTTAAATGTGGAGAAGGAAAAGTATAAATAAACTTGCAAAATATATTTGGAGTCTATTACTTGAATTGAATAATGGTATGAAATCAGACTTGAAATAACCTGGAAATTGAATGCTCTATTTGTAACCAATATTTGAGATGATCTGAACCAAATTGAGCGAAATTTGAATTACTCTAATCAGGAAAAACTGATCGATTCGAGCAAATATGAATTGACTAGTTAGAACTCGAACGGAATCATAACAATTAACAAAATTAAATGATATTCAAACCAAATGGTAACCAAACAACTCGAATCAGAACAAACCTGAACTGAATCATACATGAGTCATTGATAATTAATCAATGATAGGCCCTTTTTGGCAAAAGATTAGAAAATCTGAGTGATTTTTTTATGTATTTTAGAAAAGACTATTAAATTCACTCTTCATTTGGTTTTATCATCTTTTTATACTTCCTCCGTTTGCAAAAAGATTTTCCATTTTGATTTGGGGCAAAAATAAAGAAATGTTAAATTATAGTTGATTTCCAATTTTGCCCCTGATGTGATGGGTAAAAGTAAGATGTTTTGTTGGAAGTGGAAAAAATGAAAGAGGAAATGTTTTTGAAAACGGAGGGAGTATTAAATAGACATGATTTATCTCTGAGAAAATTCTATAATTGGTCTTCTATAACAAGATTTTTCATATTTAATCTTTTATTATCGAATATTACGTCTGTAGTCTTTTTTTATGAGTATTTTTTCACAAATAGTTATTTTTTTATCTTCTGTCATGTTAGTATTATTTTGAATACTAAAAGTGTAACTTAGCATAAACCCTATGTCTAGTGACATATTATGATGTCGGTTATATTGACTACACATCAATAATGGTTATGGTTGTGGTCTAGAATTACGACGAAAGACCAAATATGTAGACTATATTTATAGTAGACAAGGACTGCGATTCACACATGACGCATCAGGAGCGGCTTCTAAAATTGTGTATGACAAGAATGATATATGAATATTGTGATATTACGCTTTTAGCCCTCAAATTAATATCAACATGACAGAAGATTAAAAAATAGACTATTTGTGGAAATACACCCATGAAAAAAGAGCACAAACATAATATTTGATAATAAAAAACTAAATATAAAAAAGCTCATGTTATAAAGGATTAATAATGAAATTTACTTTTGTTTTTAGTGTTTAACAAAGAAACAAAGAAGTGAAAAAGACAAATCTGTCCCTTTCTTACAAATGAAGTGAAAAGACAACTTCCCCATATTTTGGCTTTGGTATGAAAGCTTCTCTCTTTTTTACCAATGTAACATTACCCCTTCTTTTAATCCTTACAAAGATAAAATTCTATTGGTCGATTGGAGGAAAGTTCTCCTTTTTTTCTCGTATTATAATTGTTTTCCCATCCTATTATTAATTGTTTAAAAACTGATTTCTTTTTCTTCTCTTCCTTTTGAAAGAAGAGACTAAATTCACACCCTAACCTAAAGTCCTAAAAAGTTGATTACAAGTATATGTTATCTTTTTATTTTTATTTTAAACACAAAGAATTTTGAGTTTTTTAAAACATTATAAAAAATTAAAAAGAAATTTAAAAAACTTTTCTAGGAAAAGGAAACAAATGGATAAAAAAAGAATTCAAAAAAGAAAAAAACCCAAATAATAAACAAAAAATAAGAAATAAGCACGAGTGTCCCCTATGGTTTAAGCACTAATGTCCTTCTTTACTGAAAAATGACCAGAAAATGATCAGAGATGGTGTGAGTGCAACGTTTTAAAATCATAGAACTTTAGAAATAAATTTTAAAAGCACATAGGGTATTGATGCCAATTTTCTAAACTACACTGGAACTATTTGGCCCCATTCAAATTAAATTTACTCGGTTTGACAAAGTTGTTGATTTACTCATTCAATATACGCTGTAGTAACGCAACCAGGAGTCCACGACCACCTAAGCAAATCAGTCTTATTGGCTACTAGGAGCAATGTTGGGCTTGTTTGGTGAGCCTACTCAAGCTGGCCTGAGGGAGGTGGCCCAGAGAAACAGTTGAGGCCCAGTTTGTCTTGGGCTGATTACATTCGGCCACCCAACTCGGATTCCTGGTGGGCTAATACCTGTTGATAGCTTGATCCATCCGGAAATGGACAGATTATTCCTCGCCTCATATACGGAGCACTATATTTTACATACAAAAAAATTCACGAGAAAATTATTAAAAATATGGAGTACTATATTGTATTTATAAAAAAAAAAAGTTACAATGAAAAATCATCAACTTTAATAGAAATAAAAATTATTCAAAATCAAATAAATATTTTAAATTTAAAATACTCCGTATAATATAGTGCTCTGTATTATTATTTTTTGAATAACTTTCTTACACATCAGTGTGGTATCTATTTAAAGCAATCTCAACTTCTTAAGCAAAGGGGTAAAGCTCACACACTGAATGTAAAGAAAATTGAGGTGGTTTTCTTTGTCACTGCACCACATGCTTTGTATTTTTTAATGTCATTATTCATTAAAATGTGAAATGAATACATAGAGGTGACAAAAATATTTACAAAATGAATTAATTAAGTTCATTCTTATTTTACTCCCTTCGTTTCAAATTATTACTTGCCGTTTGAATTTACCCAAAGTTTAAGAAAAATTAAATTATGCAGTTGAAAGTGAGAAGAATGAAAAATATGATGCACAAAAAGCATTCCAAAAAAAAGAAAGTAATCTTTGGGATAGTCCAAAAAAATAAAGAGGATTAAGATTATGTTCTCTTCAACTTATTTTTATTATTTTTTTTATTAGAATCAGATCAAAGAAGAAACAGGATTAAATATAACTACATTTAAATAATATCAGATCAAAATTTATTCCAATATAACTATTCAGATCAGGTGAGGAAACAATATTCAGATCAGGTGAAGAAAACATACTTAATTTGGGACAGAGAGAGCATTAATTACAAGACGCATTAATTATGGTGTTGATAATATTTGCTGCTTTTACTAACATTTCTGCCTACTACAATTGCAATTACGTTAATAATCAAAAATAGCAGAGCATTTAATAAATACTCCGTAATTTCAGCCAAATAGATTTTTTTAATAAGCTTGAAATGTTTAAACGAAATATAGTTTCCTTCACATTTTATTCATTTAATCGTATATTAGTGTTTGTATGATGATGCAAGACACATTTAATGTTGAATAGAAAATGCACTTTGACCACTGCCACATTTATGCAAGACATTAGGAAGTCAACGACAATATTTAATTATTTAGGATGTATAGCATTATAGTGTGAGAAAAGTTCACAAAATGTGACAAAATTTGAAAAAATATAAAGGCTTGTAAATATGTTTGCTTTCAGGACAAATAAAACCCAGAGTAATGTAACATGTGAATGAGTGTATAATGCACATAAGTCATTATCAAACATATAATAGCATTATGAAGTAGCCTTGAACTACAAAAATAGGCAATATCACACATAAAGNTCAAGACGGAGAAAACTAACTCGTTTTTTTTGGGTATTTTCACATTTTGGACTACGATTTTGTTCTGCCTAATTTCGAGAAGAAGAAAATATTTGGAACGAAGTGTGCATTAT